ATGAAGGATTAGCTTCAAAGTAACAACACTTGGTCAGTACCTCAAAAGGAATATGCATGCCATGTATGGTTTCATTCCATTCAATGGTTCTCTAAAAGAAAACATTTGTACGTATTTCTCATAGGGTCCTATGTTAAACTTAGTCCTCCGCTGGCGGCCATCTTAGATTATGGATCAGCTTCATAGTAACAACACTTGGTCAGCACCTCATAAGGAACATTCATGCCATGTTTGGTTTCATTGCATTCAGTGGTTCTCTAAAAGAAGACATTTGTATGTATTTCCCATAGGGTCCTATGTTAAACTAAGTCCCCCGCTGGCTGCCATCTTGGATGATGGATCAGCTTCAAAGTAACAACACTTGGTCAGCACATCATAAGGAACATTTTTGCCATGTTTGGTTTCATTCCTTTCAGTGGTTCTCTAAAAGAAGACGTTTGTATGTATTTCCCATAGGGTCCCATGTTAAACTAAGTCCCCCGCTGGCGGCCATCTTGGATTATGGATCGACTTCAAAGTAACAACACTCGGTCAGCACCTCATAAGGAACATTCATGCCATGTTTGGTTTCATTCCATTCAGTGGTTCTCTAAAAGAAGACATTTGTATGTATTCCCATGTTAAACTAAGTCCCCTGCAGGCGGCCATCTTGGATTATGGATCGGCTTCAAAGTAACAACACTCGGTCAGCACCTCATAAGAAACATTCATGCCATGTTTGGTTTCATTTCATTCAGTGGTTCTCTATAAGAAGACATTTGTATGTATTTCCCATAGGGTCCTATGTTAAACTAAGTCCCCCGCTGGCGGCCATCTTGGATTATGGATCGACTTCAAAGTAACAACACTCGGTCAGCACCTCATATGGAACATTCATGCCATGTTTGGTTTCATTCCATTCAGTGGTTCTCTAAAAGAAGACATTTGTATGTATTCCCATGTTAAACTAAGTCCCCTGCAGGCGGCCATCTTGGATGATGGATCCGCTACAAAGTAACAACACTTGATCAGCACCTCATAAGGAACATTCATGCCAAGTTTGGTTTCATTCCATTCAGTGGTTCTCTAGAAGAAGTTCAAAATGTAAAAAGTTAACGCCGACGACGGACGACGGACGCCAAGTGATGAGAAAAGCTCACTTGGCCCTTCGGGCCAGGTGAGCTAAAAATGACAAGATATATACAGTTTACATTAAAAAGATAGCAATTAAATCTCACAAATTGCCAAAAAGACATCTAGAGGTCAACATAACATAGTCTTCAACTATATGTTTGTTTTAGACTTTATGTAATTTGAATATACATTTTAGTATATAATAAATCATATATGAGAACTTGAGTCAAATCGGTGAACATGAATTTGACAGCTAATGGCCCCTTTAAGCCTTGCAATCAGTAGAACAAGTTGAATGTTGTTGATTTTTGAAGTAATTTGTGCATGCATATATATGTTGCCCTTCAACATGTTACAAATGACAATAATTAAAGGTGTTTTTTAACAAGATGTTCAAATGTACTTTGGATTGATTGATTGATTGGTGTTAAAGCTCAATTATTCTATTTCGTGGCAATCAGTTTTTATTAGTGGAGGAAGCCAGAGTGCCCAGAGAGAACCACTAACCTTTGGTAGGAAAACTGACAATCCTAGTCAAATAAGATTGGAGTTGAGTGACCTGTAGTGTACTTTGGATGAAAAGATAAAAGATATATATATATATATATACACATGTATGAATCTGAAAGATATATTCTAAATTACAAAAATGGTACTGCATGTTTGAAGGTAATTTTTTAAAACATGTTAAATGTAATTAACAGTAATGATCTGCCATGTGATTTATACCTGACTTTTAATAACTATAATTTCTTTGATATTTTCAATTTTGTGAATTTATCACATGTAAAAATATTTAGATATCTATATAAAATATTATGTATCTATTCAATATGCAAAAGACAGACCATCAAAATATTTTCATATACTGCAAGGCTATCCAATTGGCTTGATGACCAAATATGATAAAAAATGAGCTATAATGAATTAATTTATAACAAACAAAATTCAACATGTTCAACAGCATAAGTATAAATAAAATGCTTCGCTGGGGCGCAGCTTGATACGACCGCAGAGGTCGAACCCTGAACAGTTGGGGCAAGTATGGACACAACATTCAAGCTTGATACAGCTCTGAATTTGGATTGTTATTAAATATTTGACACAGCATAGGTTTCTGACACAGAAAGAATGTGGTCTAAGAACTTGAATTTTTTTAATTTACCTATTATGGTCCAATGTCCAAAATCAAAATACATGGTTAGATTCAGCATATCAAAGAACACCATATATTCAATTTTTGTTAAAATCAAACAAAGTTTAATTTTGGACCCCAACTTGGACAAACTTGAAAACTGGGCCCATAATCAAAAATCTAAACACATGTTTAGATTCAGCATATCAAAGAACCCCAAGAATTCAATTTTTACTAAAATCAAACTAAGTTTAATTTTGGACCCTTTGGACCTTAATGTAGACCAATTTAAAAAACGGGACTTAAAATTAAACATCTAAATACACGGTTAGATTTGGAATATCAAAGAACCCCAATAATTCAATTTTTGATGAAATCAAACAAAGTTTAATTTTGGACCCTTTTGACCTCAATATGAACCAATTTGATAGCGGGGCCCACAAATAAAAATTCTAAATTCATGGTTAGATTCAGCATATCAAAGAACCCCATATATTCAATTTTTGTTGAAATCAAAAAAAGTTTAATTTTGGACCCCAACTTGGACCAACTTGAAAACTGGGCCCATAATCAAAAATCTAAATACATGTTTAGATTCAGCATATCAAAGAACCCCAAGAATTCAATTTTTGTTAAAATCAAACTAAGTTTAATTTTGGACCCTTTGGACCTCAATGAAGACCAATTTAAAAAATGGGACCCAAATTAAAAATCTAAAAACACGGTTAGATTTGGCATATCAAAGAACCCCAATAATTCAATTTTCGATGAAATCAAACAAAGTTTAATTTTGGACCCTTTTGACCTCAATATGAACCAATTTGATGGCGGGGCCTACAAATAAAAAATCTAAATACATGGTTAGATTCAGCATATCAAAGAACATCATATATTCAATTTTTGTTGAAATCATACAAAGTTTAATTTTGGACCCCAATTTGGACCAACTTGAAAACTGGGCCCATAATCAAAAATCTAAATACATGTTTAGATTCAGCATATCAAAGAACCCCATATATTCAATTTTTGTTGAAATCAAACAAAGTTTAAATACTGGACCCTATCTTGGACCAACTTGAAAACTGGGCCCATAATCAAAAATCTAAACACATGTTTAGATTCAGTAAATCAAAGAACCCCAAGAATTCAATTTTTGTTAAAATCAAACTAAGTTTAATTTTGGACCCTTTGGACCTCAATGTAGACCAATTTAAAAAACAGGACCCAAAATTAAGAACCTAAATACACGGTTAGATTTGGAATATCAAAGAACCCCAATAATTCAATTTTAGATGAAATCAAACAAAGTTTAATTTTGGACCCTTTTGACCTCAATATGAACCAATTAGATAACGGAGTTCACAAATAAATAATCTAAATACATGGTTAGATTCAGCATATTAAAGACCCCATATATTCAATTTTTGTTGAAATCAAACAAAGTTTAATTTTTGACCCCAATTTGGACCAACTTGAAAACTGGGCCAAAAATCAAAAATCTAAATACATGTTTAGATTCAGCATATCAAAGAACCTCATATATTCAATTTTTGCTAAAATCAAACAAAGTTTAATTTTGGACCCTTTGGACATTAATGTAGACCAATTTGAAAACTGGATCCAAAATTAAAAATCTAAATACAGTTAGATTCGGCATAACAAATAAATAAATGTGATCAAAGATTTTACAAATCTAATGCGCCATACTGTGCAATTAAAGATTACTTCTTGAAATTTTTCAATATTTGAAATTTGAAAAAAAAATAATATTTGAAGAATAATTCTCTTTAATTTCTGAAATCTGAAATGAGAAAAAATTGGCCCCCCACAATTTCTTTTTATCCCCCCCCCCCCCCCTTTTTCCCCCAAAAAAATTCTTTCCCTCAAGATATGGTCATAATCTCAATTCAAATTTCCAATGGAGTTGGCAACCATAATTACCCATTTAAATTTACCATAGTGCTAACTTAATCTATTTTATAATAGAATTAATAAAAATATAGTGTCAAATCTTTCATATGGATTTTTTTGTAAAAAAAAAAGATGAAAACATTTGCAGATATTTTTACTGGTCTTCCTTTATAAATATGCATTTCTTTAAACATAATTTAAAAGCAGAGTAAGGGAAGTAACCAAAACGTTGTATTTGGATTACCTCCCTTACACTGTTTTAGATTATCTTTATTGTTCATTAACCATTACTTTATACATAATTTAAAAGCAGTGTAAGGGAGATAATTTCAATGATGTATTTGATTTATCTCCCTTACACTGCTTTAAATTATGTTTTGTACTAAAGTATTTGTCCATTAACCAGGACAACCTTGTTTTTCCCCCTTTTTTGCCCCTAATTCCTAAACGGTTTGAGCCATAACCCCCCAAAGCAAATCCTAACCATCCCTTTGTGGTATGGAAACTTGTAGTATAATTTCAGAGAGATCCATACACCGTTCCACAGTTATTGTCTGGAAACTAGAAAATGCTCATTTTTGGCCCCTTTTTGGCCCTTAATTCCTTAACTGTTGGTACCATAACCCCCAAAATCAATCCCAACCTTCCTTTTGTGGTATTTAACCTTATGGTCAAATTTCAAAAAGATCCATTCACTTAAACTAAAGTTAGAGTGCGAAAACCAATATGTATTCGGACGACGACGCCGGACGACGACGACGACGACGACGACGACGACGACGACGACGACGCCAACGTCATACCAATATACGACCACAAAATTTTTTTGCGGTCGTATAAAAAGCCTGTACTAAAAATAAACAATATTATGACATATCATGTAATCATACAAGCATGCGTATATAAATCTCTTACAACTTACCTGATATTTGAATCACTGATTTCCTTTGTTATTTCTATTAAAGTTTTGGAGAAAAAAAATTGATACTGTGACTGAAACTAATTACTCTAACCTTTTTTCTTAATTTAAAATTTTAAAAAAAGCTGAAAACTCATTTTGCTGAATATTCAATTTTGCATTTTTAAAACATTTTGTACACTTCCACGAAAAACATGTAAATGTACATACATGTATATGAAAACTTGCATACAAAATGTATGTGAACCATGAAAAATGAATCTACAAAACCTTCTTGAAAAAATGCAATGAAATCCGAATAAAGTAACCCAAAACCTGTGTAATGTGCATTCATGTATCAGACAGCTTATTTATAATCTTGAAAATGAGTTAATTATTCAATACATTCAATTCAACATCTCAAGCAACACGAGTTTGAAAAAATCAGCTTTCCATTTACATAATGACTGCAGAATTTTATGAAAATAAATAGCAATATGAATATCATATCAGTTCACTGTTCTGCAGCACCATCTCTACCCAGATTCAGAACCTGCTGTTCTTCTAACTCTTGTCTTAAATGTTCTTGTAATTGTGGATTCTGTGCCTGTTGTTCTATATTTTGTGAAGAATCTGTTTTGGCTAAAGTACTAACAACAGGCTGATATATCAGCTTATGACAAAGTGGACAATTGTCCTGAACATAAAGCCACTTTCTCAGGCAAACATTATGGAAGTAGTGATTGCAATGAGTAATTCTTGCACTTGTTAAACTTTGATAACATATGGCACAAACATCGTCTAATTCTTCCAACTGTTCTTCTGTAGCTTCTGGAAGTGAATTTATTTTATGAACAGCAGTTCTCCTCTTCATGAACACTTTCCAGCCTTCTTTGGCTTGGCACCATATATTAAAGTAAGCATGTATGCACATCATAACAGCTCGAACAATACCACCAGATTCAAAGATAATTATCCAACCTCCATTACAAAAAAGAAAAATGCCAAACATAAACTCCATTGTATTTCCAGTTGCTTTGATGTAGTAGACATAGTCATCTAACTTCTCCCAAAATACATCCATGTATGCATCAACCATAAATAAAATGTATGTCAATAAGGAGAAAAAGACTTTCATCATAACTTCAATACTGAATGCAGTGACTGCTAACAGCCATGTATTAGCAGTGTAATGACTCCAAAGATATATAAGTAACACTATTGGAAAAACGATCAAGAAAAGGCACATTGAAAGAACCCTGACATGACTGATAACATTCTGATTCTTAGATGCACTCAAAGACATCAGAACTGGATGAATCATACTGTGAACAAAATGTGCCATTGCTGTAAATAGTAGGCAAGTATTTTTGGCCAATCGAATTAGGCGACTGTCAGGATCAAGTCCTGTGAGACCTGTTTGTAAGGCTAGGATGAAAAACAAAATGGCTGACACAGTCCCCATGCTTCGATCCTCTTCTGTGTTTGATCCCACACAAAATGCCATAAAGAGACCAATATAATGAGCAATATATGAGATAATACTTGTTAGGCCTAATAATGATACAAATGTGTCACAGCTATCAGCCAATAACTTCTTCAAAAAGAATTTCCCTAAATTTTCTTGATCTAGTTCATCAAAATCATCCTGAGATATTCTTGAGTACAGTAGGCTTACTTGAACTGTAAGACGTAATATCCAAAACATACGAAGGACTCTTGGTACTTGAAGACGAATCCATTGTTCTTCTAAAAAGGTCTGAATCCCTAAATTATGTATTTTCATTTTAGTAAGGAGCACAATTCTTGTTGTAAATCTACGTAATGTTGACAATGAATCCATAATGTGCTTGACTAAAATTGCCAATGGTATAATCATTGACAGTACTGGTGACCAGAGAAGAACAATAAAATCTTGATAAATAGCTCTCACAATGATTGGGAATATCATTGAGAATGATACTGCTGATTTCAGTAAAGTATTCAGTATATCACCTTCTAAGTATACGTAGCTTCTCCTCAAGCTTGTTTGACGGAACTCCCAAGCAGTCAAAAATGCAACTGCTACACAGATTTGAATAATGATATTTTTCATTATACCATTGAAGTCTGACTGAAGTATATCATACAAATCTTTATGATATGGCTCATTCTGTTCCACTTCTTCTTTATAAATTGTAACAACAAAGTTTAGATTCCAGTGATATGACACCATCAGTATAACACCCACCAATACATAGTTGTACAGTTCTATCAAATGATTTCTGGCTGCAACAAACAACATCACTGCTAATACTAAAACTGCAAAGATAAATTAAAAGATTTTTTAAACCAAATGCAATAATAATATGAAACCTTAAAAAGATGTAAAGATAACTAAGTTCTGATTATTGAATTCAAAAAGCAGTACTCAATTAAAATAAAATGCTCCGCTGGGAGCAGCTTGATACAACCACAGAGGTCGAACCCTGAACAGTTGGGGCAAGTATGGACACAACATTCAAGCTTGATACAGCTCTGAATTTGGATTGTGATTAAATATTTGACACAGCATAGGTTTCTGACACAGAATGAATGTGGTCTAAGAACTTAAAATTTTTAATTTACCTATTATGGTCCAATATCCAAAATCTAAATACATACACTGTTAGATTCTGCATATCAAAGAACCCCAAGAATTCAATTTTTGATGAAATCAAACAAAGTTTAATTTAGGACCCTTTTGACCTCAATGTGGACAAAGCTGATAACGGGGCCCAAAAATCAAAAATCTAAATACATGGTTAAATTCAGCATATCAAAGAACCCCATATATTCAATTTTTGTTGAAATCAAACAAAGTTTAATTTTGGACCCCGATTTGGACCAACTTGAAAACTGGGTCCATAATCAAAAATCTAAATACATGTTTAGATTCAGCATATCAAAGAACCCTAAGAATTCAATTTTTGTTAAAATCAAACTAAGTTTAATTTTGGACCCTTTGGACCTTAATGTAGACCAATTTGAAAACAGAACCAAAAATTAAGAATCTAATTACACGGTTAGATTCGGCATATCAAAGAACCCCAATAATTCAATTTTTGATGAAATCAAACAAAAAGTTTAATTTTGGACCCTTTGGACCTCAGTGTGGACCAATTTAAAAACAGGCTCAAAATTTTGGACCCTTTGGACCTTAATGTAGACCAATTTGAAAACAGAATCAAAAATTAAGAATCTAAATACACGGTTAGATTCAGCATATCAAAGAACCCCAATATTTCAATTTTTGATGAAATCAAACCATATCATTATTATTTGCTTTTATATATAAATAAAAAATAACCAACTTAAAATGGAAAATTTTAAAGAAAAAAAAAAGGAAAAAAAGGATCCCCCCCAATTTTTTTAACCCCTTATGATTCATCACCCCCAAACTCAATCCCAGCCTTCCCTTTGTGGTATGGTACCTTGCAGTACAATTTCAGAGAGATCCATACACTTGAACACAAGTTATTGTCTGGAAACTGTAAAAATGCTTGTTTTTTGGCCCCAAATTCCTAAATGTTTACGGCAATTACCCCCAAACTCAAACCTAGCTTTCCCTTTGTGATATGGAACCTTGTAGTACAATTTCATAAAGATCCATACACTTACACACAAGTTATTGTCTTGAAACTAGAAAAATGCTTGTTTTTTGCCCCTTTTTTGCCCCTAATTCCTAAAATTTTGAGGCAATTACCCCAAAAATCAATCCCAGCATTCCCTTTGTGGTATGGTACCTTGCAGTACAATTTCAGAGAGATCCATACACTTGAACACAAGTTATTGTCTGGAAGTTACAAAAATGCTTATTTTTTGCCCCTTTTTGGCCCCTAATTCCTTAACAATTGGTACCATAACCCCCAAAATCAATCCCAACCTTCCTTTTGTGAAACTAGAAAAATGCTTATTTTTGGCCCCTTTTTCCTAAACGTTTTGGGCAATTACCCCCAAACTCAATTCAAGCTTTCCCTTTGTGATATGGAACCTTGTAGTACAATTTCAGAAAGATCCATACACTTACACACAAGTTATTGTCATGAAACTAGAAAAATGCTTGTTTTTTTGCCCCTTTTTTGGCCCCTAATTCCAAAGTTTTGAGGCAATTACCCCCAAAATCAATCCCAGCATTCCCTTTGTGATATGGAACCTTGTGGGACAATGACAGAGAGATCCATACACTAACACACAAGTTATTGTCTGGAAGTTACAAAAATGCTTATTTTTTGCCCCTTTTTGGCCCCTAATTCCTTAACAATTGGTACCATAACCCCCAAAATCAATCCCAACCTTCCTTTTGTGGTATTGAACCTTATGGTAAAATTTCATAGAGATCCATTCACTTAAACTATTAAAGTTATTGTGTGAAAACCAATGTGTCTTCGGACGATGACGCCGGACGACAACGCCAACGTCATACCTATATACGACCGCAAAATTTTTTTGCGGTCGTATAAAAATATGTGATAAAATATAACAACATTACAATTTCACTCTACAATATGCTATGTGATAATACAATAGTATTTACAGAAGGTCTTTGTGTTTTACAATCATTGTTGATAAATTGTCTTAAAATTGCATATGTAGTTTATACAAATTCTGGTAAACATTTTGTCAGAATCATTTCAACTATCTATGCTATCAGTACAATGCAGTGTGTTATAAATAAACTAAATATGCCTCATTAAATCAATTGCATTTATTACTTTTATTTTCATTTATATCAGAAGAAAATGATGCAAATGATGGACATGGACAATTTTTTACAATTTTATTTTAAACAAGAGTGAAAGCACTGAAATGTCTGGGCTGCGTGGCCTTCTTTACTTATATGTATCATGATTGAATGACGTCAACTTAACATTATCAATGATCCTTGTAGATAAGGTCAAGGTAAGATGAACCCAACCAGACAAACATGTGCACCTTACAAAGTTAATCTATATCTGAGAAACAGCCCTAAATTTTTGTAATTATGAACTTAATGTTGACCAATGAACCATGAACATGAGGTCATAGTCAGATGAAATCTGTCAGACAGACATGTACACCTTACAATCATTCCACACCAAACATAGTGGACATATTGTACAGTACATGTACATATTTTTAATTTAAAGTGAAATAAATTCTCGAGAAATTGAGGTTTATAGATTAGCATGCATATATTTGTATGAGAGATCATCTTCTGATAGAGTGAAATGTGTTGGATTCTGACATGTTTTCTGTTAATTCCTGCTACAGAATAGCAAAAACCAACTATGTGTAATTTCTATCAATGAAAATTAAAAATATTAAGAGTATTATTAGGCATTATTTAGAATACATGTAGATTCACAAGTGAAAGTACATGTAACTGGTTCTCTTATATATACAAACTGTATGCAGTGCCACTCTTTTTCTTGTTGATATTAAAATTAGTGGTAAAAAGACAGATTTGGTGGTGCTTTTAGTACATATGGATGTTGGGTATTTGTTATTTAGAAGGCAACCCAATGAAACAAATAATCAACTTTTATACAGCTTATTTGTGAAAGGTGTACATGTCTACTTGGAACAGTATATCTAACGGGAAATGAATCTGATAGGCTTTTCAGTATAAAATTGATAAAATCTCAAGACTCCCAGAGACTTCGCGAGATTTACGGAATTTGGTAGCGTCTGACTGAAAAACTATCGGAACTGCTCAATAAATTAACCACATAATTCTAAATGAAATAAATACAAGTTTTATCATAAAGTAGATATAATTTGTCATATAAAATGACCAAAATAAGTTTGATTTTATATTTGATGTGAAGTGTTTTATAATGGTTTGTGAATTTGGGAATGCAATCGGCACCATTTTTTTATTACCCTGTTTGCATTCTGTACCATTCTGTGATGAAATGAATGCGATTTTAACAAATTTGAAGTGACAGAATACAAGTTTGATACACTGGCATCACTATAAAACTAGTTTGAATGACATTTTATTGATATTATCAGAAATTATTAGGATAATAGAGAGTTCGTTTTTAACACGTCCGTTTCTGTATCGTATCTTTATTAACTATGACCCGATGATAAAATCGGCTAAAATTAGGTAGTGTCAAGTCCCGTCAATATATATGTTCCTGATGTCTACAAAGACTTTCATCTAAGGATATTTACAAAGAAACAAGGGATTTCTGAAAACAGATTTTCGACCAGACTTTAAACAATAGATAACTAGTTGACATTATATTGAAACTGCATAAACAGTGTATTAGCATGATTAGTGTGTACGCACTGGTGAAAGACGTAGCTAGCCATTGAAACAACTGTGTCCATGTGGTTATTGGATACAAACTATACTCTGGATGAACACTCTGATATACAACTTTCAACAATGAACCATTCAATAAACTATCAATTATAAATAGAGGTGGTATTCGTATCAGAACATTGGAAAAATGTTTAAATTGTCTGAAATACGACATGATCGATCTGTCAGTTTTAAACTTCCGGTGTTTTCGTGCTCGTTATAGTAATGATTTGCGACACTTAGAAGACAACATTTTCATGACCAACATTGAACAAGAATTTTAATAAAAGCAAATCACGGATTATGTTCTAAAGACGAAAAAAAGCTATTCATCACACGTTATTGTTAAATTAAGATTTGTATATTTTACAAAATCGTGGTTAGAAGTGGAGATGAATACAAAAAGATAAACAGATCTATATCCGTCATTTGTTTTGTGTATTAAAGTTTTAGACCAAAAGCAAAAGCAGACAGCAACATTTCATCCTCCTGAAAGTTTCCTGAGGCCATAATTTAACAAAAGTAAATAGCTTAAAATTCCACCATAACAGCATATGTCTTAGTTTCATATCAAATACCAAAATGACAGTGCTTGTAAAATGTTGCAACTAGCTGACATCTGGCATTGATCTAGTCCAATTCCTGGAAGACCCCATAACTCTCTCTTTGATTATCACTGTTAGATTTATAATTAAATTTCCTATGCTAGGGATAATCTAGAGCTTGACATATTGTTAAGAAAGTTGTCTATTGTTGAAGACTGTAGGTTTGTCATGTCAAAAAATAGAAAAATTGATATGATAATGAAAATTAGAAAAATAAATTAGTATTATTAACAATTTTGACTGAATCAAATCAAACCGATAGGCGTATCATGCACTCATGGCACAGCTCTTTATTTGAAATCTTTATTTATTATTTTAAAGTCAACTTGGACTGTCTATAATGGCAACTCTAACAAAGTATAAACATGGGGTTTGTTACTCAGGCAGTTGTCTCTGAAATCCCCCCCCCCTATATACCTTAATATTAAGGTATTTAGGACAAAAATGTTTTCAGAAACAAGTGCCTATGAGTTTGTTCTATTCATATGATAACATGTTATATTTTACATCAAAGTATCCTTTAAAGTAGATTCTTATTTCTACTTCATCATGGTGATTCTATATTTTATATTTATATTCATACAGCTTTCAAACAACAGAAAACAAAAATCCTAAAGAGCGTCATTCAATTGTCTATATAGATGTCTCTTCATAGGCGGTCTGAGTTGTCTCTTTCATCATTTGTTTACTCAAAATTGACGTCAAAACATTTATTTCCTCAACACTCTTATTTTATACTTGGTTTGAGTTGGCATTTTATATATACAGTCCAAGTTGACTTTATAGAAGGTCCGATTTGATTTAGTGAAGGTCCGAGTTTTCTTTTTTTTGTAGGCGGTCTGAGTTGTCTCCAGGCCGACTTGTCTCTCACCCAACCAATCATGCATTAGAAAGTAAATTGTAATCATCAACCACTTGATGTTTTTCTGTAGTTAAAGAAGAAAAAATAGAAGTTCCTTCATATGTTTCAAACATAAGAAATATTCTGTAATATTATTAGGGCCCCGCCGAATAGCGGCCGCCCTATAGTGATCAGTCTGTCCGTCTGTCGGTCCCTCTGTCCATAACAAATCGTGTCCGCTCTATATCTAGAGAACCGTTATGATTTCAAAGTTTATACTTGACATGTATATTAAACAACACCAGAGGGTGTGTCATAATGTATGTACAACTTCCTAGGTCAAAGGTCAAGGTCAAAAAGTTTGGTTTTAGTTGACAACCCCATGTCCTATGGTAAAGATCGTGTCCGCTCTATATCTTGAAAACCGTTATGATTTCAAAGTTTATACTTGATATGTATATAAACCAACACCAGAGGGTGTGTCATAATTTATGTACAGCTTCCTAGGTCAAAGGTCAAGGTCAAAAACTTTGGTTTCATTTGACAACCCCATGTCCAATGATAAAGATACAAATTTTTTACCACACATTATTCACAGCGGGGCCCACAGAGATGGCTCCCATCTCAATGATATCTAGTTTCCAGTGGAACAAATATTACAGAATTTTTCTATACGGAATAAAGGGTATAGAGTATTTATTCCAACAGGAACAGATATTATGGAATTGTTTATAAGTTTCTGAATTTGAAACTGTTTCTGATTTGACAACCCACTGATATCTGTTTGAGATGTACCCAAAATCATTTATTCATTCTACCTATCTACCTGGATTCTACCTGGATTACTGTGGCAATCTTTAAGTTGAAAATTCTTTAGCCACCTCTTAATTAAACTTTATAATTAACTTAAACTTTGAGCTGTGCCTCTAGTAAGGATAACTTATTTTCCCATTCTGGTAAACAATGGTATTTAAATTGTATCAATTATGGATTCACGTTAAAAGTTAAAATGACTACTATTTATCATATATGAAGGATTAAACTTCTTTCCATTCCAGTGTCTTCATTAATACTCATGTTCATTGTATTTTTAGAAATTGTCCAACATGTAAAACTGAAAGATTTAATCAGAAATTTATTTTTCTTGTAGCAAAAAAAAAAAACCCTGACATGTTGAAAAAAATGTGTAGTTTCCCATGACCTACAATGACCTAGCGCTTTTACAACTGACCTCCAATATGGGTCCTGGATTCAGTCTCTAGCTGGTACAGTCACGACAGTGGTAAACTTGGAATTTAATGGTCTACTGCTACATAACCATGATAACTGACTGAAAATCTGATGGGGGCCAAAAGAATTAATAAATTAATTAAATAAATTATATAATATGGATAATATGGATTTGATGTTCATACCTGTGATTCTATTGATCTTTATTGTACGTTCTTTTTATGTTCTTTTTGTTTTCCATTGGTTAAAAATATATAAGGGAGAGGGTTGAGATCTCAAAAACTGGTTGAAGTGCACAACATATTAATCTGCCTGTCCCAAATCAGGAAACTCCTCAGTTGCTGTCTTTTGTCATATCTTAATGTGGTGGTTGGAATGGGGCATTACATATGATACCCCATGTAGAGTGAGTGTCAGGATCTCTGCACTTTAAAAAAATATTGCAACAACTCTCTTAGGGTTGAGTAATTGACCTGTTGCAAGGCAAAATTTCTAACCCCTTCCAACATACTCTCATTTTTAATTGACAGTTTAAAATTCACATCCTTCATCCCTGTAAACCTACATTGCAGAACCTACCTCATCATTTTTTAGTCCCCTACCGACGAAGTCGAAGGGGACTTTAGGTTTACACTCCGTCCATCTGTCCGTCTGTCCATCTGTCCGTCTGTCCATCCATCAGTCAGGCAAATCAGCTTTCCACACTTTTTTTCTTCGTTCTTGAAGATATTGATTTGATATTTAGTTTTATCATGACAAGTTACAGATCAAGTTCGAATTTTGTTCGGGTCTGATGATTTAGTCCAGAGTTATGGACCATAACTCTGGACCATATCTAATGTTAGAGTACTATGTTAACCATATTTCTGTACAAAGGGAGATAACTCATTTTTTAAAAGGCATTCTTTGTTAAATTATTTGAAGAATTTTTTGGCAGGTTTGTTTGTTATTTAGTATAAACTAATTTTCTGAATGCTATAGATATAAAAAAAAAATTATGATAATAACCTATTTTTATTAATGTATATATTTCAATACATTACAAATTAGTTTGTAACAAATGAAAGAAAAAATATTTGGAACTATTAATTATATTTGATTATAATTTGAAAATAGATATACACTGTATTACATCATATCTAATTTTAGAGAACTATTAATCATATCTAATGTTTTTTTCACTCATATAATCAGTTTTCCACACTGTTTTTAGTCATGCTTGGAGATATTGACATGATATTTACTTTTTGTTTACACCATGACAAGTTATAGAACAAGTTAGCATTTTGTTCCAGTAAAATAAATTTTTACCCGGTAGGGGACTATGTATTGCCATGCAATACTCTCAGAATGTTTGTTGTCTTTGTGTTTGGAAAACTTCTTTCTCGGAGGAGTCAGATGTTTGTGGTTGGTAGTAGGTGCAGTCTTGGTTTTGTCAAATATTTTTTGTCATTTTATGTTTTATGAAATATTTGCCACTGGATGTTAAGCAGACAACAATCAATTAATCAATCATATATTAATGTTATTTTGTCATTTTGTCATTTAGGGAATTTGGTTTTGATGACAGATCTTTGATACTCATAAATGTTAAATTTTACTCGGTTTGGGAGGGTTTAGAGATTGACTTTGTCTTTTACTGAATACTATATATATTAACCTTACAATGGTTAATGTGTCATTCATTCAGTTATAGTCATATTTGCATTTACACCACATCTTCTTTAGTACTCCAGCTTCCTCCACAAAAAAAAAAACTGGCCGACGTAATTTAGCCAAGTGTTCTCAAAATGGCATTAAACACCAATAATCAATTAATCAATCTTTTATCTATATGCAATGCAAAGAATGAAAAGAAAAGTGAGAAAAGACAATATTTAAGAAAAATGTAACATTGAATACTTTTGCAGAGTTTAAATAATGAAAAGAAATATACATAAAATTGAGAATGGAAATGGGGAATGTGTCAAAGAGACAACAACCCGACCATAGAACAGACAACAGCAGAAGGTCACCAACAGGTCTTCAATGCAGCGAGAAATTTCCGCACCCGGAGGCGTCCTTCAGCTGGCCCCTAAACAAATATATATACTAGTTCAGTGATAATGAACGCCATACTAAACTCCAAATTGTACACAAGAAACTAAAATTAAAAATAATACAAGACTAACAAAGGCTAGAGGCTCCTGACTTGGGACAGGCGCAAAAATGCGGCGGGGTTAAACATGTTTATGAGATCTCAACCCTCCCCCTATACCTCTAGCCAATGTAGAAAAGTAAACGCATAACAATACGCACATTAAAATTCAGTTCAAGAGAAGTCCGAGTCTGATGTCAGAAGATGTAACCAAAGAAAATAAACAAAATGACAATAATACATAAATAACAACAGACTACTAGCAGTTAACTGACATGCCAGCTCCAGACTTCAATTAAACTGATTGAAAGATTATGTCTTCATCATATGAATATCAGGCACAATCCTTCCCGTTAGGGGTTTAGTATCATACCATCATAACATATATGAGAAGAACATAACCCGTGTCATGCCAACAACTGGTTTTTAAATAATTGTTTTTAGTGCCGATGCAAAGACCCTATAAGTGAATCAATATTAACGCCAAAATATGCAATCTTTAATGACCTGACAACAGTATCGTAACTATATCCCTTCTTAATAAGTCTATTTAAAGGTTTTGTTAGCTTCAGAGGTGAATACTGACATTTTTGTGCTTTATAAAGAATATTTCCATAAAAAATTGGATGTGAAATACCTGAACGTATAAGAAGTCTGCATGTTGAGCTATATTTACGAATGATGTCCTTATACCGATGATAAAATTTAGTAAATGTTTTGACTAGTTTGTGATATCGAAAACCCTGGTGTAATAATTTTTCAGTAATACATAAATTTCTCTCTTTAAAATCTAAAACATTGTTACATACACGAGCGAATCGTACAAGTTGAGATATATAAACACCGTAAGATGGTGACAAGGGAACGTCACCATCTAAAAATGGATAATTAACGATAGGAAATGAAAAATCATCTCTTTTATCATATATTTTAGTATTAAGCTTTCCATTAATGATATAGATATCAAGATCGAGGAAAGGGCAGTGGTCATTGTTAGTATTAGCTTTATTTAAAGTAAGTTCAACAGGATAAATTTCTTTAGTATACATACTGAAGTCGTCATTATTGAGAGCCAAAATATCATCCAAATATCTAAAAGTATTATTAAATTTGTGTATCAGATGTTGTTTCGATGGGTCTTTGCTGATTTTTGTCATAAATTGTAACTCATAGCAATACAAAAAAAGCTCCGCAATAAGTGGTGCACAGTTAGTCCCCATTGGAATTCCGATAACCTGACGATATACGGAATCTCCAAAGCGAACAAAAATGTTATCTAGTAAAAATTCAAGGGCATATATAGTATCAAAGCATGTCCAATTGACATAGTTTTTTTGTTTATTGCTACTAATAAATGACCTAAAAGAGTTTGAACATATATATTCACATTCTGACTTTTTAAATGCCCATTTAATTAGGTGTGTGAATTTTTTCTTAATGAGAATGTGAGGCAATGTGGTATATAGGGTAGAAAAATCAAAACTTTGAACAGATTCAAAATCACCAATATATGCATGTAATTTATCAAGTACTTCCAACGAGTTCTTGACACTCCAAAAGTAATTAATTCCACTATTTTCGAAGGCCTTATTTGAACAATTTATTATCAGGTTTTTGATTGTACCAAGTGTACTGGTAAGAAGAATAGACAATTTAGTAGTGGAACAATGGCTTGAAGACGAAATAAATCTATATTTGTAAGGTGTTTTGTGTAGCTTCGGAAGCCAATACATAGTTGGGACTTTCATTGTATTTGGTTCTGCTTGTAAAGCGGTAGCTAAAAAGTTTATGTTTGTTACAGATGTCGTTTTCTGAAAATGGAGTCAGTTGGAATGTTGGTGAATTGGTGATTTCTTTTTTCAGAACCTCAATGTAAAATTTACGTCAAACAATAATAATATGTCTATATAACTTCTAAGCCTTATAATATTTGATAAAAATTAAAAGTAAGAGTATCTCATGCAGAAATGTTTGTGTCAGAACATAGTCAAAATTATTTTTTCTTTTGTTTCTAGTGGCAATATTCACTATTATGCATTTGATTTTTGTATGTACTTGTTTATCAAACAGCTTTTGTATTGACGCAAGTCTTACATATTGTCTTTTTGCAAAAGTTATTTCATTTGAATTAACACAAAAGGTAAACATCAATTTATAGCTTTCTAAAAATGCAAGTTACATAAGTAGAGTCATACAGACAGGGTTGTCTTTTCTTAATCAGTGTTTACACAATTGAAAAAATAATTAGAATAAGCTTTTATTTAAAATATTGAAGAAATTAAAAAACTCCATTATTGACTATTATCTCAGTTTACCAAAAAAAAAAAAAAAAACATAATAGTTTGCTCCATTATTTTTCCATTCTTGTTGAAACTTTAAAAAAAATTTAATTGTAATACTGAAAGTTTCCATGAGACCTTCTATGAAACTAATGTAAACATGCATACAGTCACTTATATTCTGTGCTGAAATAATTGACATTTGTAAGTAATATTTCATTGTCCCTGTTTAAATATTACACAAGGTAAGCCTGTTTGACATAAATAGCATAACTCATTGACAAACTTTTTTCAACACAAGACCTTATATGTAAATTTTTAGGTAACAAATGTAACAATTTAACATTCAGTTATTTACTTTCAGATTTGATGATGTGGCAGTTGAAAGTTCAGAGAGAACAAGTTGAGGCTGTAGTAGGAGTTATTCTGAGGATTCCATCATTGGTTTTGGCAGAGTTGTGGTTCAGAACAAGTCCAGAAAAGTTGACAGATCAACCGGATGATGTTACTTTTATCATCACAGTTATTTATTATCTAAGTAAGCATTTAAAATATCAGATAGAAGTAATCTTTAAGCTGGAAAATATATTTGTAATGAAAAACATAATTGGGTTTCCACATGAAACATTAATTTGGTAAAAACAACACATTAAAAAAAAATCATTTTTCAAGTATAGCGACTGTTTTCTGTTGCATATAATTATGAAAATTTACATAAGAAACAAAAGAAATTTTTTTAACTAACCTAAAACATTCTGCATGAGATAATCTTCCATTATATATTTTTACAAAATTATTAGTATAAAATAAGGAGATGTGTTATAATTGCCAATGAGACAACTATCCATCAGAGACCAAATGATGTAGATATAAGCAACTATTTAGGTCAACTTATGACATTCAAAAATGAGTACAACCAATACTGCAAAGTAAGTTTTAAAAAGCTCAGACGTGAAAAAATTTAAAACAATTTCAAATGCGCACATTAATATTCTTGGATTGTGAAATAAATATATGAAGGTGGTCATGGTTTTTTGCTGAGTTGATTTTTTACCAAGTTATGCTCCTTTTGAAAAATAAGTTTTAACTTATAATCTGCTTCACAGACTAGATTATTATTGTGCATTGATTTTTGACACAATCCTCTGAGGTTTCGAGGGTTTTATCATGATTAGGGTTCTAATAAAGAAATGTAGATCAGGGTCTGTTTTTTTTCAATTTAAATTTTGGGAGGTTTTCCTTTATAATAGTATCGTAGTTGCTGTTATCTCATGGGCAGCCAATATCTCTTTTTATCTTTCCTTGTGTTTAATAGAGCATGTCATTTCTTTTACTTTTGTATGATATTGTTCTGCAACTGTTTTTTTTGTTGATTGGTAGATATTTTTTACGAAGTTTATGATAGGTAGCGTTGTTGGCAACAAAGCCAATTGCTGTCCTATCAATCAAGGGGATCACACTGGAAACATATTGGAGAAAAAATTTCTCTTTTTTTTTTCTAAGGAATAACCATATTTCTCTAAACACAATGGTTAAATTTAAGATTTTAAAATCTGAAATTAAACTATCTTGAATGGAGAAATGTCATAACTTACTTACAACAGGAGAATCTAAAAAAAAAATACTCCACACTGAACTTTATGTGACTTTCATAAACATTCTGTATTTTTGTCTCCCCTGTGACTTCTGCCACAGTATGCGAGACTCAGGTATTTGTATCCCGCGGCGGCGGCGTAAACTATTTGTATAAAGCTTTATATTTCAGAAGGTAGAAGACCTTGATGATTTAAATTTCTTGTATGCAGATACCTTATGTTACGAAGTTTCCGTCTGTCAAATGTCCATTGTTCTTGACCTCATTTTCATGGTTCAGCAACTGCTTGAAAAAAAATTATAGTTTTTTTGTCATGTGAATTTCTCACTTATTATGAGTAATAGGATTACTATATTTGGTACATGGGTTCCTAGCAACGTCTTCATGTCCACCAGACAGGGTTCATCTGACCTTGACCTCATTTCATGGATCAGTGATCATGGTTAAAGTTACATGATTAGGTCCATTTCTAAAATACTATAAGCAGTAGGTCAACTATATTTGGTGCATGGAATGACTGTAATGGGTACATGTCAGTCTGGTAGGTTTCATCTGACCTTGACCTCATTTTCATGGTTCATATGTCAATGTTAAGTTTTTGTGTTTTGGTCTGTTTTTCAAGTACTCATCGGTCAATGTTAAGTTTTTGTGTTTTGGTCTGTTTTTCAAATACTAATAGTAATAGGTCCGCTATATTTATTGTATGGAATAACTGTAAGGTGTACATGTCTGTCTGGCAGGTATAATCTGACCTTGACTCCATTTTCATGTTTCATTGGTCAATGTTAAGTTTTTGTGTTTTGGTCTGTTTTTTAATTACCATAAGCAATAGGTCAACTTTATTTGGTGTTTAAAAAAATTGTAAGGTGTATATGTCTGTCTGACAGGATTTATCGCCCCTTGACCTCATTTTCATAGATTTTTAAAAATATTAAGTTTATTTGATACTTTTAGTAAAACCTTTATCTTTAAGACTTAAAACATAAAATCAATGGTCAGTAAAGCAGGGGAGACATTTCAGTGTGTGCACTCTTGTTGCAAATTACATTTACACTTGAAGGCCAGGTGGGGAGCTTGAATTGTTTGTTTTTATTATAGACATTTATTTAATGCCATCTCTATGCATCTATCTAATATCTTCATTTGTATGCATATCATTTGCCACTTGACTTTAAGCAACAAGCATTCAGATTATTATTTTTTCATTAAGTTCATTGTGTACATTCAGAAGATAATTATTTTAAATTGAATTTTTTAAGCATTTTCCATAATATTTATACATATACTTTTTTTTTACAGGTTTATTTTTTGCACTAGCGCTAGCTGCACTACCATTAAAGAATCTGGTTTACCTGTACATTTATACTTTATGTGCAGGGTTAGTATGTTTTAATTGGTACATGTCTCATCTGTTTGTGTCGACAGAGTTATCTCAAGAAAGTCAAAGTTCAACCTTCTTGGCAGATTCATCAGAAACTCAGAGAGTACTTCTCCACTTGTTGGCACAGTGTATTACATCAGCATTTATATGTTACTTACTTGAAATTACCAATTGGACAAGGTTTATTTTTCTTGCTTTTGTATTGCCAGTTATTGCCAAAATCATGGGAATGCCTTCTGATGTAACCTCAGGGGTACATAATTTTTCAACGATTTTCACAATTTTACTGGTAGCATTTACAGTGTTTAATAACCTGAGTGACACATTTGAGACTGTTAGAGTGTTGTTACGGAAACTGTCGGAAGCAGTAACAGAGTTTGGTTGGATTCCAGTTATCTTAGCTTCATGGAACACGCTTCATGTTGGAATACAACTTTTGATATTTTGGATTTACATGTTCATTTCACATATTTATGTCTTCTTTAAAGTCGGAAACAGCATGATTATAAAAGAAGGATTTAGCATGATATTTCTAGCTGTGGTTGGTGAATGTTGTGCCACACCCATCAGCCTCCTGGCTTTGAGTGTTACTGTATCCTACTTTTCATACTTCATATTAACTTTTACTAAAATATTTCTCCAAGGATGGAGAGGATACATGAATGATAATGATACCTTCAGAGGTTGGACTGAAGGAGGAACAATGTTACTGATAGCATTTCAGACCGGTTTGACAGATTTGAAGCCATTACAAAGGACATTCTTAATGAGCATCCTGCTGTTCATTGTGGTTTCTTCATTAATTGAATCAATGTATGAAGTTGCTGATCCAATTTTGCTGTCACTTAGTGCAGCACATAACAGAAATATTTTTAAGCATGTTAGAGCAGTGTTACTGTTTACTTTCCTTTGGATGTTTCCATTATACATGACGTACAGCATCTGTCAGTACTTCACGTTAGATTTTTGGCTGTTAGTAATTATATCGAGTGGAATCCTTACAACTTTCCAAGCCATTGGTTCCTTGACTGTGTATAGTTTATTTATATATGATTCTCTGAGAGAGAACTCTTGGGAAAAACTTGACGATGTGATATACTACACTCGTGCAACTGTACGTGTCTTTGAATTTCTCGTTGCTCTTTTTGTTGTATGCTTTGGACTGAAGGAAACCTTAGTTGGACATTGGAGTTTGATTAATTCTGCAATTTTAATAATTCATTGTTATTTCAATGTTTATAAAAGATTAGAGACTGGATGGAAAACATTTTTGTTAAGGAGAGAAGCAGTATCTAGAGTAGAATCTTTACCTCAGGCAACCGAAGAACAATTGAATTCATTAAGTGATGTATGCCCTATTTGTTTTTCTACCATGACCCAAGCTAAAGTGACTCCATGTAATCATTTCTTCCATGCGACATGTCTTCGTAAGTGGTTATATGTTAAAGACACCTGTCCGATGTGTCACAAGAAAATAGAAGTGAGAAGAAATGATAATAATCAGACTGGCATTGTTGTAGAGAATAATTATGTTCATAATTTGATGGAAAGAGATGATGATTTAACAGAAGAGAGTGATACCAGTGAGTCTGACAATGAATCTGATGGAAGTACTGAGATCCTAGAGGAGGACCATGATCAGATCATTGACAATGTAGAGGCAGAAAGAGCTGCATTGCAAACAATTCAAAATAATGAAGCATGAGACATGTATCATGTCTTGGGAAATCAAAAGGTGAAGGTTTATTAAATCAAAATTTCCAGGTTTATCTGGAGTCAAATACTTCGTGATTTATAATATAGATGTTATAATATGATACACCCCCATATGTATGAACTGTAAAATGTTTGTATTTTTGCATGGGAAACAGCAACTATAAAAATAAACATGCTCAAACCATGCAATCTTCATAAATTCACCATTAGAATAATGAAAATAGCAAATTTTATCTGAAATATAGACACGATAAATGACACATATGCTATTTTAATAATCCGGACACTGACATAAAACTTATTTTTTTAAAACAGAATGCAGTGCTAGATCTATGTTTTAGGTATTACAATATACATGATATACATGACATATGTGCTGAAAAATTCTATATCATTGATACAACATTTTAATGTTATCGCACCACAGGTAAATTAATCAAATTATTTTTTTCAGTATAATCTTGAGTATAATAGTTGAATCTTCTGAAAAATGTCAAAATACAATAAAAAGTCCACATGATTGCATTGTGCATAGAAATCTTATTTTTTTTTTTAAATGTTTTTAAATATGTATACTTGAATGATTGATAAAGCAAAACAAAAATTTTAGTGGCAATAGCATATCATTTTTAAAGAAAATTTGTAGGGGAGATGAATACAAAGTCAAGTTATTCAATGTTTTGAGATATTAACATTCACTCTATACATTTGTACTTCTATCTGTAGGATATTCCATTTGTTTTGTCTCATATAATGTATAAAAGCTACATTTATAATTGTTGGATATTAATTTGCTGTTATGCTTTAGTGGCTTGCAAAATTACACAGAACTCAGTGAGATTGGGGATTTATGTACCTGTTACCTAAAGAAAACTAGCTCATCCACAAAGAGAGCAATATGTTCTTTGTTTGTTCAATGTACGTTCAAGCTATATGTGTGTGTAATGATAAAAATGAATATGGATATGGCAAACATCTATTTGCAAGATTTTAAGCAGCAGATTGAAGATTTTGAAGTTATAAAATACCATACATTTATTTTCATGTGATAGAAATCTTTTTAAAATGCTCGCATATCAAGTAGATAGACAGAAACTATTTATGGATTCAAAATTACCTACCTCATCTTCAATCACAGTCATTACAATGTATTCTCAGTTTCAAGTGCTTAATAATTCTTCTAAGTTGGATACAATGTCCTTACCTATAGCAGAGACATATAATACAATTATATGTCTCTGCCTATAGCAAATGAATGATAAACAATGTGTTGGTTTACTAAAGTATTATTATCATTATATAAAACAATTGCAACATTTTGGACCATATTTCACCTCGATTCCAGCAATAACTTTTAGTAGAATCAGAAACATATAATGTAATGTATTATATTTCTCTGGTAGAACATACTGTAAGGTGTAGCTCACCGTGAATAACTATGGATTTATTGTCTTCTTGAATAACTCACTTTTCAAGAAATGAAAAATGATTGAAAGTTGAAAAAAAAACGTTGTTTCAAAACACTTTCCTGGAATATTTCAAAAAACAGTGTCCTGTAATACACCCTTTTCTTCATTAGTTTTTTTGAAAAAAAGAAAAACAATTATGCATGCAATCAAATATAATACAAGGTTGACACAGAATTGTTATTTTTTTTTGTTAGTGATAGATGACATCTGATTTTTTACCCCAAAAAATGATATATCAGAAGTCAGAAATTAGTCTTCAAGTTCATAAAAAAGTAATAATTAATGGAAAATATTCATTTTTGTTCTTCCAAGTGAAAAGAAACATATGCTCCCATTTATGACTAAATTGCAATTTTTTTTAAAATTATTTTGGAGTTAAAAAGAGTTATCTGGAGAGGTCTAAAATGTTGTGATTGTAGAATTGCATAACTTTACATTATTTAATGTTGAAATTGCCACAAGAAATTCAGACTATTGCTATCTCTCTTACAGTTGTTATGATGAACTATAAGAATAAGTACTTATATAGTAATTAATTTTGCCTTTTTAAAAATGTCTAGTCTTCTTAAATAAATAATATGGTTGTTATTGTAGGTATTTGATACACAATTTTAAGTATGAAAATATTATGTATGTTTAAAGAAGAACTTGAGATGAAAATTAAAATTGATGTACCAAACATCTGTCTTTTTTATTGAACATTTTAAGACTTAGCTTCTAAGATTTCAATAAAAATATCAAAATAATGTCATTTACCTGATTTTATTCAAATTCAAAACTATCCATATTATTAGTTGAAAAAATACAATATTTCAAAATTTTCCAAAGTCAAAAGTCAGACTGAAGTCTAGGGTCGGTCCATGTCAATTTTTGCCAGTATGATACATGCAGCAATTAACCTTTTCAACTATGAAAAGATGATCTGAGGATAAACTCTTGGTCGCAATATTTAGAAAACAGACTTAGTTTTCATAGTTAAACAGCCATCCATCATCACCAAAGTTTTTATAGTATATTTATAAGGCACAGATGGGTCAATATCCCTAATGAGCCTCAAGTTCGGGAACACAACTATAAATAGAAATAAACAAAACTGTATGCAATGCTATTGGACATGCTGTTATTTTTAGCAATTGACTGAGCTTAACCAATTGTTCTTTTTGAAGAGGAGAAGACTTTACATTAGGGAGTTATTAAATATTTGTAAAAAAAAATGAATTTTCAGAGAATTTATATATTAAATAGTATTTATAAGCAATAAAAGAGAACTGGTAATGCATATACTAGGAATAGCTGTAAGCATACCACTGGATTTAGGCCATTCTTGCCATGCAAGCCTGTCCCATGATCAAGCTATACATAGTTTTTTTGCTTTATTGATGTTTTCCTGCATATGTATCGAGATGGTTTGCCGATGATTTTTGCTGTAATTCCTAAATGCATGCGGTTTCAACATTTTGAATAGATGTGTCATTTAATTTGAAATTGAAGTTTTGATGATTTTACATTGTGTATGCTGTTTATAATATTTCTCCTGTTGACTGTAATTCTCCACCATTGTTAGAATGGTTTGCATATTAGTGGCACTATTTACAAACAGTGTGACGTCATCTGCACAAGTTGATGTAACACATTGGATATGACCAATGAAGGCTCCAAGTGTACTGTCCTCTACTTGATTAAGAATATCATTGATATATAGCTTGTATAATTCTGTACTCAATGTTCCACCCTGTCTAACTCCTTGCTTATATAAGGTTGAAGGGTTCCTATCGAACTGATGTTAGTGCACCTATAATTAGATCGTGTATGAGAAGCCACAGTGAACCAGATATTCCAGCTTTCCGTAAAGACTGCTATGGTTAACAACGTCAAAAGCAGATTTGCATCAAGCAGTGGTACAGATAAAGATGTTTTCCTGTATACTGCATCAACAATCACTTCATTTGAGTAGAAGGGCTTAAAATAATGGTGATAATTTTAGACGGGGATCCCCTCTGAAATCTGTGTTGAATGGACGCAATTATTTGCCATTAATGTTCTTTGAGGAGTTGTTCTAGGATTTAGGGAGCTACCATTTGATTTTTATGGGGGGAGGGGGGCTAGGATGAAATTTGAAAAAAAAGGCAGGACAGGAGTTTTGAGTAAAAAAAAAGGCAGGATGAGACACTTTGCCAAAAAAAAAGACAGGATGACAATTTATGTAAAAAAAAGTCAGGATAAACTAATAAAAAAAAAGGCAGGACCGAATAGTGAGAACAATAAAAAGGCAGGACAGAGATTACAACTAAAAAAAATGCAGGACACAATTATTCGTCCTAGCCTATGCATTACATCTCATTGTTGGTGGTATCTGGTCAGGTCTCGTTCCCATATCAAAACTTTTGCCAGAATGCTTGCATGTTCATATAGCAAGAAGATGGTACATTCCATGGATTTGTATGACTTTAGGATTTATGCATATGTGGCATGTTCAACTGGGGAGGTCTTTTTCCTAGTGGGTGTAAATTAGTAAATTAATCATTTGGCATTGGAAGTACATTTTCCATATGTGTATCAGGTATATGATTCTGGTACCCGTTTACATGTGGACCTGGTATATGATTTTGATAACCATTTACATGTGAATCTGGTATTTGATTATGGTAACCATTTGTCTGTGGAACCATGATATTGATTACTATGTTGAAATGGCCCGTGTTGTTTTGTCAATTCCAGTGCGTCTAATCTTTGCTGTAAAGAGTTGTACTCGAGGCCAGAAACCCTTCTATGCTTTCCATACTTTGTATTTTAGATTACAGATGTTGAGTTTCCAGGTGCATCGATGAACCTTGTGTGATGTGCTCCGCTTGATGGGAGAGTGGATCCAACCTTGGATTAGCTTGAGCTGTGACAATAGATGGTGTACTATCGACAGTTCCTGCTACTTTTTTTCTTAGAATTCTATTGCTGTTTTCCAATTCTTTCATTTTAGCGTTTAGTTTCGTGATATATATACTTGAAGTTTACCATTTTCATTTGAGATTTCTGAATTGGTAGCATTTTGTTGTTTGAGCTCTTCCCATTTTTTTAATCCGAGCTCCTTTTCTTTAAGCTCTTTTTTCTTTCAGATTTGGTCTTCCTTCCACGCTTTGAGAGTGGTTAACAGGTGGTTGTTCTTCTGTTACTATATCGCATTCTTTTGGTATTGGTTTTGATATGTTTTTTTATTACTGGTTCTAGATTTCTAGGTCCGAGTTGATTGATGGATTTGAGTTTTCAACCCTATGTCCAGATCTGATGTTAACTTCCTCAAGCAATATTTATTGCGATATCGTAATAGATGGGCAATTATTTGTGTTTTTCTGATGGTATTGTTGTGTATGCTGAATTTCACCAATATTTTCTAAAGTTGTTATACACTTGTAGTAACTAGGAGGGGGTAAGCCAGTATATCTACTTACTGTGAATGTCACTTGATCCTACTTTTTTTGACAAATTGTACACACATACGGAACATCTTGAGATAGTTCTAACGTACCTTTTTGTTCCGCAGTGAGTTTTTCACATTTGAAGTGGATCCAGTGGCCTCGATCAGTGCATTCAGTACATTTGCTCAAGCACTTTCTATTACATTTTGGACAGATACCCGGAATCATCTTTGAGTTTTCATGCTGTAATGGATATTTCAGTTATTATAGATGGTTTACTCAAATGGGATGCATTATTCTGTAGAATCATTTTGATTCAACCATTTTTTTCAGGAGTAATTGGACGTTAACTATCTTTTTGGGGTATTATGACAATAACGACTTGTGAACGTTAGTCCTCAACGACAGTTTTATAGATAGAACCTCATAGTTGGTAGGATTGTTTGCTGTCATGTGTTGTTGACTATATTATAGCGCATTTTTATTCGACCATTTTTACAGGAGTTCTTGGACTTTGACCATTGTTTTGAGAATGAATTGAAATAGTCACTTTGTGAACTCCACTGAGACAATTTAACAGAAAGCTTTCATACTTGGTAGGATTGTTTGCGTTTCGGGGGACATAGAAATAACGGGCGTCCGTCCGTCCAGTCTTGTTAGCGCTCTCACGTGTACAATTCTTTTCAGATTCTTATGAAACTTGTATCATATAGGTTTATATCAGCAATGTCATGAACATTTCGAAAATCAGTGCCGATCAATTATTTTTAAAAGAGTTATGCCCCTTGGAAACATTAATTGTATTGAAAATTGCATCGTTAGCGCTCTCATGTGTACAATTCTTGCCAGATTTTTATGAAACTTATATCATAGGTTTATATTAGCAATGTCTTGGAC